ATAGTCTGCATTGTCTTTGCCTTTGCACTTTTGTGCTTCAACTACTTAGCAGGGTTTTTTTTTCTTCTGATTTTTACTTTCTTATCCCATCTAAGGTTCATCAGCGAGGTGTCAGATTTATGGCGTGCTGGTGGCATTGCGTTACTTTTGCACCCTTTCAATTTGTGTAATTGTTGTTGTTGTTGCTGTTGTGTGGCAGATTTGATGGCATTCACTTAGCTGTTTGTTGCAATTAGTGTTAGCTGTTGATGGCTGGTTGCAAAAGAGCAAAACTTTCCCAGCTGATTAGGTGTTTTTTTTTTTTGCTTTTTTTTGTAGCGGTTGCGTCAATTAATTTTTTCTCTTAATTCATAAGCAGCACGATAAATTATAAGTATGATTGCAAGTACTTGCTTATATGAATTTAATGCCAGGATCAACTGTTTTAATTTTGCTCCTGTTTTCAGTAAAATAAGACCACACAACTCTTTTCATTTCTGCGCCACTATTAGACACAAAATATCCATAAATAACTTGTCCAAGCTTCAACTAAAACCATATAAATCCAAGTTTCAAACTTTATACAAAATGTAGAAAAATTCAACAAATTTTGATTAAAATTTAAATTTTTTTAATCTGAACATTCCAAACATTTCTGGGTACGCAGATTTAAAGCCCATGCAATTTTAATCTCAAGAAGTGCAGTTATACAAAATTGCGTTGAATTTTAATAATTTTTATTTTGTGAAGGATTTTGCGTTTTTTTTAATATAACTAATTACTTTTTTATAATTGATTTTTTGAAAGCTTTATTTATTTCATAAGAAATTCATGCCTATATGGAAAAAACTGCTAAAAAAATATATATTGAAATTCAACTGAATTTTTAGCCACTTGAAACTTGCACTTCATTGGACTAAAATCGTATGGGCTATAAAACTGCATACCCAAAAATGTTGTAAAGATGCAAATTAAAAATTTGTTGAATTTTCCTAAATTTTACATATGGCTTCAAATATTGATTTTTATGGTTTTGGTTAAAGCGTGTGTAATGTTTTAACAGAAAAGTAAAAAACAAATAATAAGATGGAAAACATTGTGAATATCAAAAAAAAAGCAATCAACTCGTGGCCAATTGTTTGAGTCACTGTACTTTTGAGAAGAAAATTCTTTACAGGGTTGTATAACAGATCATCTGGCTTTATCTTTGTAACGAATAAAAATAAAATGGATTTGTTATTGTTTTTTACTGGACCTTTACGTTGTATTTTTAAGATGATAACACTTAGTTAAGTAAACGCCATCACGGCTAATTACCTTTGGCCGGTTATATCGATGTTTAGAAAAAAATCGATGTTTTACTTTTCAATATCGATTTTTATACTTTCTTATCGTCCCTATTACCATAAACTGTAAACAATAAAAAGCGCGAAAGGTGAAAGAAAAATATTTTTATATTATTATTTTATTATTTATTTTATTTTACTTTGATCTTATTTTATAAAGTATTAAAATTCGATGTAGCTACATACATACATATATTATCAAAACCATACTTGCGGTGAAAGGCGGAAAAGGAGGTGGGACCCTTCCCATTAAAACTGAAATTATAATATCGCTGCTGGAACTGCTTATGCTAAAGTACTATGGTTTGATAAAGCTAGTGTTGCTCATACGCCACCGCAAACATATTAATAGAAAAAAATATGTATGACTGGCGCAGCTATGCGCCGCTAGTTAAAGCTGATTTCGATAGAGGATTATCCATGGAATACTAGGTGGTGTTTCTGTGTTTGAAAGAATGTATTTTTGGTTGTCGCACATACATATGTACACACATTGTTTGAAAGGTATGTATGTGTGTTTGTGACTTTTAACTCTCATTAATTTTGTACAGAAAAAAAGGACCATTTGATCTAGTGTGCATAGCGTGTTAATTGTACCTTAAGAACACCCCAAATATGTTTTTAGTCACAGTAGAGACCAATAATGTATGAGCTTTACAACGACATGGACATAGTGCAGCGAATTAAAATACAGCGGCTCCGCTGGCTTGGCCATGTCGTTCGAATGGACACCGACGCTCCAGCTCTGAAAGTATTCAACTCGGAACCCGCTGGTGGTAGCAGAGGAAGAGGGAGGCCCCCACTGCGATGGAAAGATCAGGTGGAGAAGGACTTGGCTTCACTTGGCGTTTCCTATTGGCGTCAGTTGGCACAGAGGAGAAACGACTGGCGTGCTTTGCTGAACTCGGCCAAAATCGCTTAGGCGGTTACAGCGCCAAAAAAGAAGAAGAAGAAGAGACCAATAAAATTACTTTAAAATTTGTATATCAAAAAGGCATAGGCATTAGAAGCGCTTCTTATCGCAGATTATAATTACTGCATACCTTTATAATTCTGAATTATATTATTTTTAGCAAAAGAAACAGATTATTTACGCATTTTATTTTTAAGGTAACGATAAAGTTTTCCTGCTATTTTTATGAGCAGAAAGTGGTTTGATTTTTAATTTTCAGGAATTGATAAATATCAAAGTTATGATTTGTATGCCAATATTATGTACATCGCAAACAAATATTTTCCTTCAGTAATCTTCAAACAAAATTTAAAATTTTACTAACTAATTTTTTATAACCGAAAGTATCAGTCCTTATCCCTTGATTCAGAACCACATATTTTTGAGGTGTTGCGCGAAGGAGGTTTTCTAAGCTGCAAATAGTTTCCTCTATTCCATGCGTTGCAAAGACTCAAAAATTTTTAACAATTTGTACCACCACAATTTATTTATTTTATTTTATTTTATTTTATTTTATTTGATTTTATTTTATTTTATTTTATTTTATTTTATTTTATTTTATTTTAT